TGTTGTGGCGCGCATTCGCGCCGTAATTCAAGGTCTGTCCACACGGTGTCAGTGCTGTGCTGAGTCCACACGCTGGTTAAATCCCCGGATGTTATTGTGGCTAGCTCCTTTAGCAAATCGGCTAGCCGCTGCGACGCCGCAGTATTCTGCCGCTACGCTCTGCCGCATCGGGGACTTTTGATCCTTTTCACTCCCCCGGCCGATAGACCCGTGTTTTTAACGTTGGTATCTTAACATCGGTCATTTATCATGATAGAAGTTGATTAAACAGGTCGTTGTTTTAAACTGTTGCGGTGATTTTTTTCCAACCGGTCCGGTGGGTTAACAATACGAAGAGCTAAAGGCTAAATTAGCAGCTAGCGTAGAGACACAGGCCCGCTTGTTTCTTCAGGTAGCTAACACAGCTAGCTTAGCGAGCTACCGCGGCTGTCATGGAAGACAAATCCTTCACTAAAGAGTTAGACCAATGGATCGAACAGCTAAACGAGTGCAAGCAGCTATCGGAAAACCAAGTCCGGACGCTCTGTGAGAAGGTAAGTTCCAAAGTTTTTGACACGATTTCCCGGCAGGCCTGGCTCAGTCCAGCGCGGCCTGTGTTGCGAAAGTGGCTCTGGCTAATTTCCGGAATAAAGGAGCGACGAGGCGGCTGTTTGCGCCCAATTTTCCTCCGCATTCTGAGTCAGAATTCCCTTTCAGGTGTGATATATATGTGTGTATTTCTATTAAATAATAATCCACACTGTGAACTGTTGTCCGACTATCGTCGACTCATTACACACGGGCCGAAAAATCGCATCTCTAGCCCAGTGCCAAGAAATAGACGCAGCCCATTTTACTGCCCGGTTATTACCTGCGCTGCTTTTTGCGCACAGGCCGAGATTCAGCCTGATTCAGCCATTCACTGTACGGGGCTTTATTCTTATTTCTCTCTTAAGGCTAATCATCTGTTAATGTGTGTCGCGATTGATCGATTAGTACCGCGCCCTTAATGTATTGATCCACCATTTGATTGCATAAACGGCAGGTTGGTTGCACCATTAAAAATGAGCCGTTTGTTCAGCCGTGTGGCGGCTCTCGTCCTCTGTCGAAGCGATTAAACCCGAAATATTCCTCGTTGCATACTTTTAGAAGTGTGCGTTGACTAAATGATCTGATCTGAAGACATTTCTATTACAGCAGCGATGTTCAGAGAAAATACCCATCAAACTGAAAATCCACGTCCGAGACAGCAGAGCGTAAAATGTCTGTAACCTGATTTATTATGCTCTCTGCATGAAGATGAATCCATTGTTGGTGCCATTTAACATCTAAATGAGGGCTGAAACCGTCTGTACTAATCAGTCATTTATTTATTTCTAGCTAATCAGCAGAGTCAGAGATGGTTTAGATGTAAAAAAATGAATAAATAAATAAAGAGACTCATCGTACAGGTTCTGGTGTCCCCGTTTTGTCTTCTTAGATTTTCAGTATAATAAAAAGATGAAAGTCTCAAAGTAAAAACTGGATAAACATGGCGTGACATTTGAAGGACAGAAGAATATAATGGAGGTATGATGAACATGGAACAGACCGGCTCATATCTGATTGATCTCCATTAGGAGATTATTGCAGTAATCTGAGGGGAAATGAAAGTATCCAGGTGGTATTGGTCAGATGGGTGAGGAGGTTTGAGCGCAGCCAGGTTCTGCCAGCTGACTTCATATGAACTAATCAATTACTGAAGGGGCTCTTATTACAGTTAATAACAGTAACATTCATGAGATGAATGAAGTTTGGCCTGTTGTAGCTACATGCTGTCATCTTTCAGCTATGAGTGGAGCTGAAGGGATGTAAAAAGTACTGATAAGTCTTTATTTTGCTCTTCCTACACATTGTTGTTTGCAGTAAATTTGAATAAAAACCAGCAACATGTTTATGGACTTTTTCCTTAGGTGGGTGCATTTTTAAAGGTTATTGATTTTATATTTCCACGTATTTAAGCTGTTGCATGATTCATTGCAGCAAGTTTTTCCTGCTCTAAATGAGCCTCACACAGCGAGTCCACGTGTAGCTGATGACTCAGTGTTGATGAGTTTACTGTGCTTAACAAAGGGCTGTGTGAGGTTTGGATATTTCTGACATTTTGACTAACAAAGATGGCGTTATTTCGAATAGAGGGAACTATAACCTGCTGTTCTGAAGGGTTCTGGTTGGAGGACACTGTTGGTACAGCATAAAAAAGATATTTAGCATTTTGCCCGGTTAGCTGTTTCCAGTTTCCAGTAAAATAAATAAATAATACTTGACTTTATCAGTAAGAGAATTAAAAAAAAAACGACAGCTTAAATGTCACATGTGTATGACGTGTTTAGCTGGTCAAAAATGAGGCAGTCCCAGCTGTAACCTGTGTATCCTGTGAATTCTGATGGGAAGCAGGGAAGTTCAGCTGCTGAGTGATTGATGGTTAAAACTCTAAAATAAGATCAACTTTATTTTCTCACTAATTTAAAAGAGCTGTGGGGCCGAGGAGAGCAGGTTTCCAAACAGTACAGTGCCCTCTGAGGTCATGTGGGCCTGAAATCTTAAGAAGGAAAAAACAAACAAACCAAAAACAGTCCTGTGTGTGACACTCGGCACACAGAAGAGTGAGATCACACCCCCTCACAGCGCCACACAAGACCCCCCCACTGTTTGAGCTGGGATTCCTTAAAAAAACAAACAAACCCAAAGACACTCATTAAATCTGTTTCCTCTACAGGCCAAGGAGATCCTGACCAAGGAGTCCAACGTTCAGGAGGTGAGTTTTCCAAACTCATTATTGATTATTCATGGAAAAATGAAAATCACGAGGAAAAAGAAAAGCAGAAGATAAAACCAGAGCTGATATCAAACGATTAGATTCTAATCCAAGTCAGCCGTTTATGGGTCATCAGTCCTTTATGTGTTTCAGAGTGAAGATGTGACTCGGGTGGAGCGGAGCTCAGGTTAACATTTTACATGCATCCGTAGTTCTGTGTTAACCTGAGCTGCACTGCTCACAGAGCCACGGTACCTTTGACAATATTTGAAGTAGGTCCAGCCCAGGGAGCCTTCTAGATAGTGGAGTTGTAAACTGTGACAGGCTCCTTTCTCCTCATAAACACCTCCAGGCTGCTCTTAA